CTTTCTAATGAGAAGAAAGCATTGCTCTTCCCCGATTATATTTTCTTTACCAGCCTGGAGATTAAAAGTGGCAACACTGTGTTCTCAAGCTACCCCACAGCCTTCTTCTCTTATACTCACCAGTTAACAGCTGTAATATACTGTAAACAGAGGGGGAATACTCACTCATTATTTGTTCACATCATGATGAAGCTAGCTTTGAACAGGGATTGGAATGCTTCACAGGACTCAAGGTGTCCCTTCAAAACCCTTTTGCATGCTGATGCAGCACAGGGTTGGAAGTTAAGGATTTTACATCTGAGAAACTAAACGTGTGAGTTTCTTAAAGCTCTGCTGGCTTTCATGCCGTCTGTTTATACTGCATCTATGTAGTTTAGGTTAAGAAAGAAAGAAAAGCTCTGTCTTTGTCCTCGGTACGTAGCTGAAGCCTGAAGTTGTTGCAATAGAAATTAATCAAGTGAGCCAGGAATCCCACTGCGAACCAAAATGCATCCATAATTTAAAATCAGTCCTGCATGTGGGAGTGAAGTTTCAGAGTTCCAGTTTTGATGTGGGTGGGTGGGAAAAAATATATTGTAGTGGTTTCTGAAGGCCTACTGGAGAGGATGGGCGAGGAAAGGAAGTGGGAAAGTGCAAAACAAAAACAGAGTGAAAGTGCATGTGTTTCTGTGTCCAAAGTGACTGGACGGACGGGTCAGAGCGTCTCACACGGGATCGTCTAACAACGCTGGACGACAGCGAAGTGGAGATGCAAGAGTGTGGGATGGAATGAAGTCAAATAAACAAGCGGTAGATAAGAGCAACGGCAGATTCTTATGCTTAGATCAAACAAGTAAAACAATCTGTGTGTGTTTATGTTTACTTGTGGTGCTAAATGATTTAAAATGTGTGACCACACAAGAAAAATGGATAGTAATATTGATTAATTTTGACTTCCTCACTTGAATCCGTTTAATAGCAAAAGCCACCCTTTGTAATCAAGCTTTATTGCAGTAATAATTATTTTGTACTAACGTCTCTAATGAGCAGCCGTTAAAAAAACAAAGCACCCTGTGCAATACCTGCTGCCTGCCACAGTTAATGGCAGGGGGGCCTGTTGAATATGAATGAGGCTTTTTTTTTCGCTGTAGATGTATAGAGGCGGCTGTTTGGGATAATTAGTGGGAACCTGGCTTCCCGTGGTGCCTGGAACCTGTGGAGCCCTCCTCTTAGCCTGGTGGGATATAATGAATAGTGCAGAACTGTTGGCGAAGCTGTCTGCTCAGGTGGTACGCTGCACTTTTGCTCCGGTGCCAGAATAGTTTTAAAGTCTGGATAATGGTCAGCGAAGGGCGAGTGTGGTGCAGAGTTTTAGATTTTTGTTATCTCAGCAACTGTGCCTCCGACTTTACCGAGTTCAATTTCCATACCCACTTATACATAATCAGGGTCAAAAAGAGGATGGAGAATATCCCAGTGTGCGGGGCAGGGAGACATCTTCAGCACGAGTGGACACTCACAGAGCTAATGCATGTAAAACTAATTCAGTAAAAGTGTGGTCGTTGCTTCCCGTCCAAAGCTGCCCCCCACCCCCACCCCAATCTAATTAAAAAAGTCTCACCATTTTGAAAGAGAGGGAGGGATTGACTCTAATTCATGAGGTATTAATGGTTCATATTAGTAATGCACTGATACTGCGATACCTTAATTCTGGCTATCTGGGAATATTAAGTATTAAATGTTACTTTTTTCTTTTCTGGAAATTTATTATGCCTCATTGCCACTGGGATCGTTCTTATGTATGGTATCATCAGGTTAAGGAGTAGCGCTGCAGTGCTAAAGGATTAAAGATGGTCACGTCATGGCTTAGGTCAGAATGGTGCCAGTGTCTATTTAGCACAGCAAATCAGGATATGTCTGGTTCAAGATGAAAAATGCAAACAACAGAACAGGTTTAAAAGCATTCATGGCCTTGCGGCACTGTTATGCCTTTAGAGTGCCTGAAGAAAGGTAGCCAGAGGAAAACATTAAAACCCTACACTGAAAAAAATTGGATTTTTCACCCTCAATAAAAATGAAGCAGTGAGTTTGAGTAAAATGTAACTAAAATGTAAAAGATGAAACATTTATTTTTGTTGTGGCAGATGGTTGCCCATCCCTGATCCTCTCATGGAGGTTTTTTCCTGTTGAAAGGGAGTTTTTCCTTCCCACTGTCATCAAGTACTTGCTCATAGGGGGTCATGTGGTTGCTGGGGTGTATTTTTATTCCAGTTATTGTAGGGTCTTTACCTTACAAAATAAAGCACCTTGGGGTGACTGTGCATTTGAGCATATTCTGTTCAGTTTAACATTTTACATTATAGAACAAAGTTACAAAAAATCTATATGCAATTAAATTATTTAAAGTCAGCAATTTAGGCAGAATTTGTTTTTTGAGTGTTCAAGCAAAAATGTGTCCAGTTCTACAATCTGAATCTCGGTTCTGATGCTGTGAAGCAGCAATGAGACACCAAACAGATGCTATATCCTGCACACAAAACTCAGTGTGGCCATAGTTATCCCCTGCCAGCCTGTATAACCTTCCACTGGTTCCTGCAGTCTTCAGCGGATATATTCTTGGTTAAGTGGTCTGCCAGATATTGTGGTTGCCATGTGCCGATTGAAAAGCTGGAAAGATACACATCAAGTGCAGAATAAAGCAATAAGGCCCGGTGGAATGCGAAACAATGGCTCCTTCCAGGTGGTGCTGTACTGTGAGAGGTGTGGGGGGAATTGGATGAGACAGAAAGCTCGTCTGGCTGCCTGGCTGTTAGCATTGGACTTGGCAGCTCTCTGCCAGGGAAACGCTGACAGGCAGGCGAGGCTGTCACAGCACATAAGTGCCTCCTCGCACCATCCCCGCTCCTGTAGGGCAGGTCAGCTCTCCCGCGTTCAGAACATGGGCCCAGTCCCACACTCAGACCACAGATCATAATGTGTAACTGGGGAGGGGGAGGCATGTGTCACAGGCTTTATATGGTTGAAAGACTCTGTAAGGTGAGAGAAAGCCACTGGTGACACCGCAGAAATGTGCTCTGCGCGTTGGTAGTTACACTCTTCACTTAATTAAGAGACGGCTTCTGTGATTAAATTGTGCTGAAGGCTGAGCATTTCTGCAAGCAGAGGATTAATGATAACAGTTGGCCCGCTAAAAACAACTCAAGTGCGCAGATTTAGATCGTCTATGCGCGCCTCACAAATCTATGATCCCCTCACAATGTGTTGACAGTTTCTATGCAAAGATTACACTTTCATACTTTCATCAGTCCGGAATGAGCGTGTCCCACAAACTTATCTTAAATTATTGTAATGGCTGATCATTCTGGAGTCAAGCTGATTGTTGTTTCACACTGCTGGCTTGGTGCATAAATTAGGTAGGGAAGGGACTTTTTTCAGCCTTTCGTTAAACATAAAATAAATTACTGAGTGTGTGATTTTCTCTAAAAAAAATAAATAAATACATATATATATATATATATATATGTATATACATATATATATATATATATATATATATATACATACATATACATATACATACATATATATATATATATATATACATTGGTGGTGGGGGTGGGGGCTTGGAAGGAAAAGATTGCTGAGAAAAATAACTGCCGAAACAGGCAGCCTCCCTGCTGTTATCAAAGAAATGAAAGATCAAATTTATTTTAAAAAATATCCTTTCCTCCTTGAAAACCCCAATAGATGTAATTACAGTAAATGGCATCTACAGACTGTGAGCCAGGAATTCAGCGTCTTAGTTGGGAGGGAAATTATCCCCAGTGTGCTGAAACGTGCAAAAGGTGACGAAGTTACTTCCACAGAAACACCCAGTTTTTAAATTGCATTTGAAAGAAACCCATTTGTGGTCTACATTATGAGGGACGAGGTAGGGAAAAAATTGTCTACAGTAGGCATTTGAAATAATGTGTGTGTGTGTGTGCGCACACGTGTGTGTGTGCAGCCATGTGTTCCCAGGATGGGAATATGTGTGCTTGTTTGGATTGCCTTACCGTGACCTTTGCTGTTGAATCTGGATGTTTGCATAGCCCATCCCTGTTGTTTTGACTAGCACAGAGTAAGCAGCAGCTCTCTCGGCTGCCTTTCCTCGTGAAAAATATCTGAAGACTTTTGCCATTTCAATTAATTCCATGGCGTTAAATATATACATATATGTATACATTTATTGCTACAGAGATGTTTTTTTCCCTTTTTTCGTGCTGAAGTTGAGGCGCACCATTTGACTAGTGCTTGTTGAAGGCAAGAAAAACAAAGCGAATATTAAAATATTTAAAAGGCCTTATAGAAAGGATCAAAAGTTAAAAAAGACGAGGCAGCGACATTCAATTTTCCCATGCTTTTGAAGGGCTCCTCGGCAAGATTATAAGTCAAACCTAACACCCTAAATCCTTCTCCTTGTTGTTTGCTGGATTTCACTGCTCTGGTATCGATCTTTCTCGGCTCGTATAGAAAATCAAAGCCACCTAGAGTGGGAACTCATCTGATTTCCGGCAATAAATTTGTCTTTACAGTCTCTTGGTTTCAGCGCTGTGGGTAGGTGCGTATTGATACAGGTGTGGATTTTGACCTGCTGAAGGAAGACAAAGAACTCTGGTCTCATCTTTTGGCCTTCAGACTCAATTGCATATTTCAGACACATTTTCTGATGAGCTGTCTGGCTAAATGTTTTTCGCACCGAGAAATTACAGTATCAATTGAAAGTGACTTTATAGAGTGAGAAGAGAAAGCAGATGGGAAGAGGGAGAATTAAAAGAGACTCAAAGAAAGATGAATTGAGATTATCCTTTTGAGATCATACACTTATAACAGACGTGGATTGTATTTATGGCTGGATTGCTTTTTCATGGGAATGAGAAAGGTGCCATTTCAGTATAATACAGACATTCATTCTTCATTATATGCCTGAAACCTAAAAGCCCTTTCTCCTCTCTCTTTTTTTTCTTTGTTCTTCCCTGCAGATGTGCCGCAGACTGATTCGTCCTCCATCTCCAGTTCATATTCAATGGCAGACAAAGACTGCATTTCTTAGCACCACTGAGTTCGGAAAGTCAGCTTTGGTCCACAGCTAAGCCACAGCCTTCTTTCTTACTGACTCTTTGCAAGTCTCCACTTCAGTCCATCACCATGGCCTGTTTTCTGACATCGGCCTTTCTCCTGGTTCTTCAGACATACGCTGCCCCACCTGAGGCAGGATTTGGGATTACACTGGACACCGTGGACTTTGACACCGGCCTACTAGTGAATGTCTCTGGAGATGTAACCACATCTCCACCCCCGGGAACAAGCAAACGAGCCCCACATAGTATTATTATTGGGGTACGCAAAGGTGGCACAAGAGCGCTGTTGGAGATGCTGGACATACACCCTGAAGTGGCTGCCGCCGCCACCGAGGTGCACTTCTTTGACTGGGATGAGAACTACGCCAAGGGCTTTGAGTGGTACCGTGAGTTAATGCCCTACTCTTACCCACACCAGATCACAATAGAGAAAACTCCAGGCTATTTCACTTCAGCCCTTGCACCCGAACGTATCTGTGCCATGAACTCTTCCATTAAGCTGCTGCTGATCTTGCGAGACCCAGCTGAGCGGGTCATCTCCGACTACACCCAGGTGTACTTTAACCGGCTGGAGAACCACAAGCCGGTTCAGGCCATTGAAAACCTGCTAGTGCGCAACGGAGCGCTGAATATGAGGTACAAGGCCATTCAGAGGAGCCTGTACGACGTCCACATGCGCAACTGGCTGCGCCACTTTCCCTTAGAACAGATACACATAGTAGACGGTGACGCTCTGATCCGTGATCCCCTCCCAGAGCTTCAGAGGGTGGAGCGCTTCCTTAACTTGCCACCCAGGATAGTATCCACCAACTTCTACTTCAATCAGACCAAAGGGTTTTACTGCATCCGCAGTGATGGCCGAGAGCGCTGTCTGCACGAGTCTAAGGGACGACCTCATCCTGCTGTTAACAGCACTGTGCTCCAGCAGCTCCGCTCCTACCTTCAAGAACACAACCGCACCTTCTTCAGGCTGGTGAAGCGCACCTTCGACTGGCAATAAAAACCCCAGTTTGCATTCTTAACAGAGCCACTATCTTGTCTGTGACGAGGATAAAACATTTTAAAAAATGCGGGAGGCTATGAAGCACTTTAAGGACGTTTAAAAACTTTTGAATAGCCTCTTAATAACTACTGTTGTAATCTCTGGTTTCAGCAGAGGAGTTCTATATTTACACGATAACGGCAAAAAATGTGAAAAACTGTAACTACAGGCGTAAGATTAAAAAGAAGAACCTTCAAGCTTAATAAGTCATTCTCTCTGTGCTGGAAGTGTTAAGTGGTGAAATTTCAGTGAAAACAAGTTTATGAAACTGATGAAGTTTTTTTCCCCCTCTCCTTTGATATTCTTGTTCTTGATAATAAATTGTTCTGCTTTGAAATGTACAAAAAATGGCATGTTCTCCGTTTCATTCTGACCATCGTATAGTATAGCCCCTCAGCCTTCTAACCTGTGATATTTAGAGAGTATGCTAAGATAGGCAAAGGCATTAGATAAGCCTTTGATTTGCTGTGGTGGAAGGTAGACATTAATGCAAGGAAATGGGTACCCCGGAGCAGCGCTTTAGTAGTACAAGAATCACTAATAGCTCTGGACATTGAATGCAGCCTGTGCCTGCAGCTAAATAAGTCGGATCTTCATAGTCAGCAAGCTAAAATCCACAGAGCTTCTGTTGCGTTTTGCCGCTGTTCAACAATTTGCTCAGGTGTAAAGTGTAGTCATTAAATTATATGCCTAACAGTGCTGTAAATCTTTTACGAAGGATACTGTATCCATTGCGGATCCTTTTCCTATTTTCTCCCTTTCCTGAATCATGCACATCATGCGGTCTTCCAAGAAACAGCTTGTCGTCCTATGCACAACAGACAGACACGGGTCATGTTTCTTTCATTGATTGGGCTTTAAACAGCAGCCAAAGCTACAGCTCCGCCGGGATCTGATATTCATGTGATCTCCTTGCTCTGTCTGCTGGAATAAGCACTACAACTCTCCCGAGGCAAACAAGTCATTGATGCTATGCTGGATCTATATCCAGAACGGAGCAGGGGTGGGGGTGTGAAGCTGTGGGCTATATAGAAATATGCTGAATATTTATATTAGTAGTGTAGTTCGTGGGCCATCTGGGGTTTTAAATTATAATTAGGCAGGAAAATTCTGTGTATAGCCAAGTTTGGTTTGATGACAAAGTGCTAAATAAAAATCAGCCCTAGCTCATCTCGCTCAGGGACTTTTCTCGCTTCTGCTCGCCAGGGGGCACTTGGACCCCAGAGTAACTGACGGAGGACCCGGTGGAAGGAAATGTGTCTGGACATGATCTCTTTAGGATCTAGTCTCTCGGCACACACGCAGGTGACAGTCACCCCGTGACCCTGGCCGACGCCTGTCTGCTTGGGTATGTATCACCCAGCCGCTCATCTGAGAGATAACGAACTGTCCTACAGCACAAGCAGCCTGGCACACACAAACACAAGCGCGCACATAAGCAATCATTCCCAAGGTGTTACACTGGCGCAGCGCAGTGTTTCCATTAGACAGGTGGGCAAGAAGGACAAAAGGGCATGCTTTGCTCGCAATGTGAGTGCATACTGAACAAAGTCCTTTTATACCCTTTATTTGTTTGAGGCAAAGTTTACTTAGTGTGCTTGCTGGGAGCTGCATAGTGCATCTGTAGCTGTCAAATTCTCAGACCCCGAAGCAGAGGAGGTTGTTTAAGGAAAAGATTTTCTTTTTTTTCATGTTTTTTCAACAAATGTAAAAATGTGACTCTTACATCGAGTCCTGTAAGAATGAGCTTACAATATTTTTAAGCTGTGAGTGCACATTTTTTGTGTAGGAGAATCCAGTTTTCATCTTGTCTATATCATGGGGCGTGTAGATGTTAGGAAAATTAGAAAATAGTACTGACGTGTCAAATTTATCATTTTTGATCATTCTTACTGTAGAAATGGTAGAAACCACCACTGACCTGCTAGCATTCATTATGTTAACCTTGAACAGAATATATTATCCTTGAGCCCTTTACCACTGGCTTGAGTATGATGATTACCTGGTACTCATCTTTGTGCAGCATATTAACCACATAAAATATGATCACAGGCAAAATTATACCCCAAAAAGGTGTATGGAGCACTCGGCTTCAGCCATGTTGGTTTTTTGAAAGCAAATATGGTAAGTGAGATGAAAATTTTAGATAAGTAAATATACATATGTATATAAATGAACAACATAAACACGAATAAGCTCTACTATATGTGTTATAAGAAACCGGCAACTCATTAAATGCTTACATGCTGAAAGTTAAACTAAAGCTAAGCTAAAAACTCAAACAAGCTGTGGAAACACATTTTACTTAACTAAAATAAAAATAAAAATTTGACTAACGGTTAAAAGAACATATACTCTCAAAGACAAATACTCTCTATATAATAATAACATGAACATAGAAAACTATAATAACTGTTACTGAGGTATTAAATCATGTTAAGAGCATGATACTTGTGTCACAGCCAATCGGATGCTAGTATTTTAGCATGAAAATATTTCCTAATTAGCACTAAACACAAACTACAGCTGAGAATTTGAAAAGCTCAAAGTTTGAAACGAGCGTTGCAGTAGATAAAAGGTTAGCCAATCATGAAAGCTGCAGCAGCTCACTCTGAGGGAAATTAAACATCTGTGCCAAATGTCAGGGTGAGCTATGCTAAGAAATTTACCTTTAACAAGCTGCGATGCAACTCTTGGTTTTTATCAGCTAAACCGAAGTCGGCATTATCTTTGTGGCTCTAACCCACGCTGACAGGGGCGTCAGCGCGGCAACCATCTGGATGCAAAGTCCACCACTTAAATCTGAAGCCCGAAACAATTGAGCTGGAGCTCTGTTATTAAAAACGGCACTGTGCTGTGGAGCAAGTAATCGCCTCGATGAGCCACTTCGAGCATTACCTTTTCTGTTATACAGAAACACACAGGTTTTTTGGCGGACGCCGACATAGTGCAAGTCATTTAAAACTCTGACACTAACAAGTTTCTTTAAGTAATGGCTACTATTGAGTGAGTCACTTATCACTGCATGTCTTTGATATCTGCCAACCTCGGGCGTAATTAAAGGTTTGAGGGTTGGTCTGGGGCAATCTGCTGTAGATGTTTTGGCTGGTCTTGTCATCCTAGAAGCCTCTAATGATCTGTCTGGGATTGTGATTGATGAAGCACTTAACATCAAATCAAAGCACAAGGAACGCTTGTAGCTTGCTAAGCTGTTTGCAAACTAGCAGCCGCTGTATTTGCTTGATAAAAGTCTATTACAGAGGTGTCCTTGATGTGAATTAATGACCTCCATGTTTACATTAGAAGCAGAACCTAATGCACATTAGGAGTTGATTGACATGGCTCAGCAGATATGCACAAGCTACAAACAGCATGGGTCAGTAAATCTGGCTGCAGCTCAGTAACAAGCAGAGTTGGTTTCTTCTTTTTTTTAACTTTTGAACACTGTGCCATTTGAAGTATCTCTAGAAATAATTAAATGCACACTGAATGGTTTACAGTCTTAATGATATTACAGCGTTCTTATAGGACTTCAAAAATAACCCCGCTGCCAGTTGAATGAGCTCCATTGCTCTTATTTCTCTATTAAATTTACAGCTCTTTCCCACAGCTGTGCGCATAGGTGTGACCATCTGGATGATCCCTCTGAAATCTTATCACAGTGAAGCTATTTCGAAAACATCAAGGTACGGAGCTCTTTCGCAGGATGAAAGAAACCCTCTACTATATTCAACTGTTCATGCAAAGACATAACCCAACATCAAAAAAAGGTGTTTTCACTCCTATATTGCTGGCTCAAATGCAAAAAGCCTGTGGGGAATGACGAACACTGTGCATCCAACATTGCCGTACATAAAATCAACCCACTAAAGCCTTTTTACATCTTCTTAGATCAGGAAAAGAACAATGAACATAAATCTAATGAGATCAGGGAGCCAGCATGTTTCCCAAAATACCGCAAACACAAAAGGCTCAGAAACAGAAGAACTGTGCAGAAAAATGCATTTTTTCACACATATTTTAAAGGTTTCTTGTGTTTTTTATCCCCATAAATCCCCCCCCCACACACACACACACACACACACACACCTTGTGATTACTTATTCATTTGTTTGTTGATTTGTTTTTCATTGCCTCGGGTGCAGAGGGCATGTGTTTGATGTGCTCCCATGGCAGTCTTTACTAAAGGGGAAGGAAGGTTTCTGCTGCATACAGGTCAAAGGGAGGAGAAGGAGACATGTCTGCTTATTTGCAGCTGGATTTTAAAAGCCTCTGATTAATCCTTTGAGGCGATAGAATGAAAAGGATACTAAAAAAAAAAAAAAAAACTTAAGTGTGTTCAGGTCTAAGAGTGCACATCGCATTGTAAATACTGCCAGTGCAAGCGCGTGAGGTGGCGAGAGAAGCACACATGCCAAGTCCGCACACACCGATGTTCCTTCCAGTGTTGTGAAAGTTGACCTCTTCCTGGTTTGGAGGAGACAGATGAGTCACTGGTGCAATGTTTCACTGTTACTCTTGACTGGCATCCTTTTGCACCAGATTTTTTCCAGCTTTGCCATTAAAACAGTCTCTGTTCATGTGAATCAGGTCCCATACACCCTCAACATAGTTAAACATACTCAGGTAGCTTACTAGTTAGTTACACCAATAGCTTTAGGTTATGGAGTCAGATATAAACAGATATTTCTGTCGCATTGATGTGCGACAGAAAGTGATCGGTACAACTAACCCACTGTGGCATCAAATTAAAATTCTGTTCAATGTGTAGGCTGACATATAACGACAACAGATCTGCATCATTATATTCCTGCGAGAAAAGAAGACTTCTGCCAGCACTGCTAACCTGCCAGAACAGTGTCTCCTTACTCTTTGAGCCCTGGTAGCGTTCCTGCTACATTTATGTAACATTACATTTCTAAGAGTATCCCTACCTTCTTTCATATATTATTGCTGGAGGTACCGTTCGTACTTGTTGCTGCAGCTAATAGCAACACATCTGCAAGCATAAAGAAGAAGCAGTGTGAAGTGTTATGAGTTTGTGTCCTTTTTGCATAGGCATTTGTCTACACAAAGAGGTATGCAACAATGCAAACACGCTGGGTACTTGGAGGACTACAGCTTGATGTGGACGGCTATGCGTAGGTTGAATGTTGATTGTTCGAAAAGTGAGCTGGTGTCGTGACACAAAGTAACACTCATAAAAAGTGATTTCCAATGTTTATGTGTTTTCTTTGGCAATATCTTTGCTAATATCGATAAATAAGCAGTACTCAACAGGATTTTAGATAAAGGGGTTTTATCTCAAATCAAGAGATGCCCTGTTTC